TGAGTTTCACATGCATGTTTTCTCTCAGAATATTATAGAGTACGGTTCTAATTTTCTCCGCCAAACATTGTTTGTCTGTTGTCCAGATTTAGTTTTGGATATAAGGACTACCCAGACTCCGTAGCATCCACGTCCAAATTCTAGTTTATTCACGTGTCCACCACATACATCGAATGAAGGTAATTTTAAAATTAAAAATGTAGTAATATTTTTATGGTGTTTCTTACTGTAACTTTTTGGCTGGATTCTAGCATATGCCACGTCTCCTGCACATAAAGAAGTGTTGCGTTAGTGGCTTTTAAATTCTTGTTGAGTTTGTGAAGTTCAAATACCAGTAATTTCTTTCTTTGGAAGTAATGTTTTCAAACTTATTTCAGTGGATCCTGTTACTCCTGTTAAGAGTGAGAGGAACACGACTGAGTGCAATGACTTGAGTTCCAACGTTGAAGGGCTGTTGTCCCCAAGCAAGAATCAACCATTTACAAATGGTGGCTTGAGAACCACACTTCCACCTAACGGCAAAAGTAATTTTGGGGCCCTTTTTTAAGGAAGTTGATATGGTAAGTTGAAAATAAATGAAGTAAATCTGCTTATTTATGATGATACAACATTCCAAATCCATTCATCCCGTGATTTCTTTTCAGATTGACTTAAGAGATTTTTGAATAAAACTGCTATTTTGTATGGCATAGTTAGTGAGGAGGGCACATCAGCTGTTAGACACATTGAAGAAAGAAGCAGAAATGCATCGAAGTGGAGGTACTGCATGCTTTACTTTTGAAAAAACCACTATTTGCCTCATGTTTGAGTAAATAATTCTTTTCTTTCTCCCTCTATTTAGTTATAAATGAACATGTAGCTTCTCTAATGGGGTCGATTGACCCCTTAGTGGTTTTCAATGACGAAAACCTCTTTTCTGCCAGGAGAGGAGCCGGGAACCTCCCCCAGAGAAATCTGTTACATGTGGCACAGGAGTAGTGAAGGTGTCAAATTTGCCACGATTTGTCAGAGAGGCACACTTCAAATGCTTTATTTCAATGTTAGCATATAATACAGATCTGGTCGAAGATGGTTTCTCCAGTAAAAAATATAACACACCACAGGAATGAAAGGACATGCTCTGTTGAGGTAATTATACGCATGCTTTTTTTTTTCTGAATCCTTCATGAAAGTGGCAGCGGCTAATATGTCCTTTCATCTTGGTTTGCAGTTTATCAATGCAAGTGTTGCTGAAGAAGTGTCCAAAGAGGTGCTGGTTATGAAACTATTCCCTTGAGAATGGAACATGAAAAGAAAAAGTAAGCCTCCTGCTGGTGCAAAACACCGCTGCATTGAATTCGGAAATCTACCTGGCTTCTTGAACAGGTGGGTTCATATATCTATATAGACTATTAATTAATCCTTAAGTATTGATTTATTACATTCCTTTTTTTCAGCTTCATTTTATAAATTTCTTGAACGTCCTTCTCTTTGGTGAGTCTAGTGTTGAAAGTGTTGAAAGAAAATCTTGTGTTGAAACTGTGTCTAATTTTAAAGAACGTTCGTGCGTGGTGCAGGTAATAAAATTCTGCCTAGATTTCTCTTATGATATGTGTTGCTGTTAGTAATAATTGATAAATCACTGAATTGCATTTTAATAATTTTCCATCCAGTTTATTGATGCTGATATTGCTGAGAGGGTCTTAGCAATGCAACCTGTAATTATGATCGCCGACAATTGATTCTGAATCTCAGTTCAGAGTCAACTGTTGAGCAACCATCAATTTATTATATTGAAAATCTTCCTGCAGCTTTTTTTCCGGTACTTTTACCTTTCTCATCACTTTATCACTCTGTTAGCATTTTTTAAAATGCCTTTCTGGTATTTAACCATAATTTTCTGTTTTGCCATCACCAGATGCACTTCTCTAACTTTCTGAATGACATGGCACAACATTGCCTGTTCGCTACAGATGACGACAAAGTTGTGGTTCGGGTCTTTGACCACAATCGGTATAAGAAAACAATGCTATGTGCAGGTAAGTAGACTTCTTACATGGTCATTGAGTGTTTCATAATCTTGAGGTGGTATGCGATCTAATTTGAATCGCAATTTCGCTATGTTCCAGTTTGTTAATTCTACTATTGCACAGAAAGTAAGTGCCATTGAACCACTTCTGTACGATCAGAAGATTCTAAAATCTTCGTTTAAGACGTTGTCTCAGCCACTTGATGTGCCACCTCCAACAGATCATATTTCTGATACAACAGTTGATCCTGGTAATTCAATCAGAGTGTGTACTGTCCCATGTAAAGAGAGTCAAATTCTTGATAGTCCCTGTTTTTCTTTAACAGACATTGTCTCAAAGGCCTCAACCATCCCTGGCCAGTCTGCTGTCGGCAAACTGGGGGGGGCCTGGGATGCCAAAAAGACAGAACAGTTTCTCCATACTCATTTGGCGTATAGCAAGAGAGGAATGCCAACACCCTTTTCGCTGAGGTGAAGGCCCACCTTTGGGTGCATGGTAAACTCGATTACAGTGAGGAGCAGCTTAAGGAGAAACTGAGAAGTGTCCGCAATTACTTTGTGAATACGGTCATGAAATCTGAGGCTGGCCAGGATGGGTCATCAAACTACCCTCACTATGATGTCATGTTGGAACTTTACCCAGCCTACAAGACCCCAGAGATCATCAAGAAAGGAAGAAGAAAGGAAGATGAATCAAACGACAGGTACTTCTATCTTCAGCTCAGCCTGGTCATGATTATGGTTGCAACTTTTTGATCGTTACATTCATGCTCTGTGTGTGTTTCAGACTCTTGGGATAACAGTGCCATTAAGCTTCTCCTTGAGAATACAAAACCACCAATCCCTCTTAATGCTGTAAATGGTACACACAGGACATCTGATGTGTACAAATTAGTGTCTGCCGCAATGCTGCAAAAGGGAAGGAATTTTCCCCTGCGGAATGCAAGCAACGCATGGCGAGTCTCAACGCTACCTTCTTTACCATTCAAGACATTGAGGGAAACCAGTCAGGGGCTGGAAAATGTTCAATGGATCAAGAGCATTACGAGGCTCTGACTGCACTGTGGCAAAAAGCTACGGAAATTCTGTAAACAGCTGTGGTAATTATCCGTAGCCCCCTTATCAATATTCTCCGTAGGCTCTTACAGTATTTTCCATAGGACCGCACAGTATTCTCCGTAGGACCTTACAGTGATCTCCGTAGGACTATACAGTCTGCCAGGTCCTACGGAGAAGACTGCGGACTTACAGAGAATACTGTACGGCCCTACGGAGAATACTGTAAGAGCCTACGGAGAATATTGATAAGAGGGCTACGGAGAATCCTGGCAAAAAAATTAACAGAATTTTCCGTACCTTTTTGCCACAGTGTGCCATACATGCTGGGAGTGTAGCAGTTGAGTCTCCCTACTCTTTCAGTGTTGGGGCTACTACCCAGGTAAAAAAGGGTAACATTGCTCATGTGAAAGTGGTGGGGGCTGGACAGCCAATGAAGTTGAGGAAGGCTTGGAACTGGAGAACTGATGTTCCCTTAACAGCCAATCAGCACAAAATCCAGCTTGACAATGAGAGAGCAGAAACATCCATGAGACTGCAGAAAGAAGCCATTGCAGCTCTGTCTGCTTTGACCAAGGCTCGTCAGGAGCGTGACAGAAGTCAGTTAATGAGTCAGTGATTTTTTTACTTGTAATTTGACTAAGTCATAAAGTTTTTCTTTTTTTTTTAAGTTTTATAATGATTTATACTTATTTAGTAAGCCATTGATTATGATGTGATGTATTTTTGTGTCATCTTCTGTTATGTACAATTGTTGCTAATGTTGTAAATTTTATGAAGGTTCCAGTTTATTTGAGTTTTAAGAGGAGATCTTCAACACTAATTTATTTATGAGAAGTGGATACTGTTGTGTTAGTTTATGCAGTAAGTGGCACCAGATGTTTTGTGCCACCACATGCGTACTTTACTTAAATTTATAAGACATTACATCATATTTTCAACAAACAATTTTCTTTTTTTTGACAAATGTAGGTAATGGGGTTGTTTTAACATTTCCAATGACCCGTAATTTGCCCACTCAGTCTCTTTGAAATTCCTGAGTATACTTTTGATCTCAAATATTATGTTTTGAGCCCTCTAAAATGTTAACTTCTTTTGTAAGTGGTATTGCATGATATATGCCTAGGAGCTACTTTCATGCATAAGAACTCAAAGGAGTATCTTTCACTGCGATTGTCACAATGTCTATGAATGCTCATGTGTTCCTATGTGTTTGGAGGAATGTTATACCTGCTTAAAGAATTAAGTGATATTGTCATTAATATTTGATGTACTTTTCTTTAGAGTAGAAGTCTACACTACTACAAGTAAATGTTTTTAATCTCATTAAAATTAATTTTTGGGCTTTGTCTGTTATGAACAATTTAGAAGCTCTTAGCATTAAAAATTATTTCTATGATTGTGGACTTATGCTTTCATTGTCAAAAGCATGATAAAAGCTGCAAGAGTGTCCTGTTTTTTTGTCTTGCTGAAGTTTGTTCTTGTCCTTTCCTTTTGTAAATGTTTGGGGATTCATTATTGAATTTGGGAATTCATTGGTAATTATCTTACATGTACCTAATTCTTTCCTGAAAATCAAAATTTTTGTGATTTATCATAAGATGGTGTTATTGTTCGTCAATCAGTCTATATCTGATATATCTCGTGTTTCGTTAGTATGTAACTAATTGAGAATTAAGGCTTATTTTGTTTTGAATACCTTAGTGAATTTAGATCTCATGTTATTTTTTTCAAGAAAGTATGTCAGTTGATCTGTGATCTAGTATACATTTTTAGTATACCAATTATTCAATTCTTTCTGTAAGAATTTAAGTTTTTGATTTCTGACATGAAACAAGTGTCATTTATTCCTCATGGGTATGGTGATTAAAGTAACCATACAGGATGAATCTTACATTTTATTGTTTCTCCCCAACTAATAACACGGTTCCATTAACTAATTTAAATCAGCAAAACGTTGAACAATTTCATTGCGCTTATGCCTGCCAGCAACTCTTGCCTCTTGCAACAAGCGCACAATTGGGTTTCTTTCCAGAAAATCTTCAGGCAAGTTATCATAATCTCCCTCAAGCAGCTGTTCTGCCATGTCGTCCTGATCCTCAATGACATCATCAGGCTCATCTGGATCAACAAAATCCTGTAAGGAACAATGACAGTAAGAATTGGAAGTCGGCAAGTACTGAAGCAGATGTCTGACTACATAATAAAAACGTACATGAACTTCATGACCCTCCAGTATCATGAAATTGTGCAGTACAAAACATGCCACAATAGTTTTGACTGCATACTCAATATTGTAGCTCTCCAAAAATTTCAAACGCCTCCACTGGGAGAAGATCTTGCCAAAGCAATGTTCTATTCTTACACGGCACCTACTCAAGCGGTAATTGTAGGCTTTCTGAGCCCGGGTTAGGCGGCCATTGTTCCTAATGGGAGTGAGGAGCTGTTGAAAATAAATGAAACAAGCACATGTGAAACAGAGAACGTCTAATGTAGTTTCATAAGAGGAAGCATCCATCTACTACCTTGTCAGTAAGCATATAAATGCTGTATCCTAGCATGTGCTGATTTGCCTCCAGCTTATCAGGATTTGTTAGCAGTTGTCTGCATAGGGGGCTCCGTCGGAACACCCTGGCATCAGTCAATGCCCCTGCCTCACCAACATGCAGATCACGCACAACGAGATTGTGATCACAGACTGCTTGTGTGTTCAATGAATATTGATGATGTCGATCAATGTATCTTCGAGGTTGCACTATAGGGGCATTAATTACCATATATGTGCCGTCACATGCACCTACAACACCAGGAAAACCTGAGTAGGCTTCAAAAGCATTTGCAATTACTCCACGCTCTTCCTGAGAAGGCCACTTTATAAATCGGGGTGCTAGTTCACAGAGGGCTTCAACGACTTTGATGAAGTGCCTATACACTGTAGATGGAGTGGTGTTAAACTGCGTAGCAACGCTACGATAAGAGTCAGGAGTCGCCAAAATCCACAAGGTATGCATCAAGATTAGGTCCACATCGTATCCAGAAAGTCGTTGCATGATTCCTCTTTCAAACATGTAATGGCCAACAACTTCATGGAGTATCTGTAAATGTACACGATAGATAAATAATGAGCGCGAAACTTAAGTGTAATAAATAAAACACATCAGGAGATAGAGTTAATTTGTTCATACCTCAAATGTCACTCTCGTCATTCGAAAGTGAAGCCGAAAAGCCGGGTCACCCATAATTTGAAATGCTCTCGTATCCACTGGCACATTCACCCACTTCGGTTCATCAACATTGCCACCGTCGACATTGTGGCATACAGGACATGATGTCACGATACTCCGTGCCAGAGAGACGAAAGGACTGTTTGAATCGCCCGCGCGCTGCGCGCTCCGCCTTCAACGACGCGTTCCGCCGTCCCTGGCGACACCAGCGCCTCCACGCGGACAAAAAACTGAACTCCTCAGTCCCACGCCGCTGAGCTCTCAGCCGTCAGTCACCGGAGCGACTCTGACGCGCGCCGGACGCAGCCACCTGTCCGTGCCGACCCACGCCGACCCGTGCCTACCCAGCCGGTCGTGCTGTCCGCGAGTGTGTTGACAAGTTCCTCGCCATGACTTCGCCGAATTTGGACTACGCTTCCTGCTTGTGCCCTTCCGAGGTGGGTTTCCCGGCTGGCGGAGAGAAAAGGCTTGTGTTTTGGCGTTGCTTTTGCTGAGAAAACCTTTCATTCTCAGGGCTTCAAGATGAGAGGCTGAGGTAGCCTGATTGCCCTGCGATGCCGCCCGACTGAGCCGACGCCATGACGTGAGCCGGCCGCTCGCCGCTCCGTCGCACCACGCCCCGCAAGGAACCCGCTGCCTCGTCGCTGTGTGTACAGTACACTGTACAGAGAAATCCAAGCTCAAGTGTGCAAGAAGACTGTGCAGTGCTGTGATGATCTTGTGCTAGTGCTTGTGCTTCGAGGACAGCCTATTAGTTTTAGTGCTGTAAATTTTAGTGTTGTTGTGGCGTAGCCCACACTGTTAAATTGGTTTGCAAACCACTGTTTTGTGAATGTGTGTGTGTGTTGCTGGCCAGCGGAGAAGTTGTGTACACTGTGAAGTCGACCTTGGGTGAGTCAAATATTATTTATTTCAATCTTTCTTAGGGGCCCATAAGTGTTTTGTGTTAGGTGACGTGTTGTGAAAGGAGCTGCTGGGAAGTCACTGTAATGGTGTTGTTATTGTCTGTGCCACTGTAAAAATGTTTGTCTGTAGGATCGGCATCACGCTTATGTGATTTTGTCTTGTGTTTCTGTCGCCGATAAACTGTTGTTGTGATTGTTGTTTCCAGTGTTGGTCGCTGTGATCTGTATGTGTTTGTAAATAATTTGGTTTGCCGTTAATATTGCGGTTTTCTTGATAGTGTATTGATAGGACATGTGTTTGTCTAGGCATTTGTTGTGATGCTATTTTTCATAGCTCTGTGATTGGAGTTGCCTTGTCGATTTCTGACATAAGGTTTTATTTGGGATTTATTAGCCCTTCCATTTTGTTAGTATTTTATAGTTGCTAAATTGCAACTTGGATGTTTTATTTCTTGTCGCTGGTACGATTGAGATTTTAGTTTTCGGCGCTGGTTCTATAGTGCTTATTGAAACGCTCTTTGTACTGTTGGTGATTTTGCATCTGCGCTCTAAAGTTTTTGAAAATAGTTGTTTGTGTCTCGGTTTCATGAGAGTTTTGAGACTGTAAATCTTAGTGTCTTGTCAAGTTGTGAGCGTTATTTATTGTTGATTTATTTTTATGAGTTTTTCCTAGTTTTTATATTGATAGTGTAGACATTTGTCTGCGTACTTGAGTTAGTGTTGTTTCATTCAGAGTGTTATTAAAGTTAAATTCACTGTCAATATTTTGATTTTGAGACGTTTGTTTACTGTATTAACTTCTAAATTTCCAAACTTCTAGTTGTTGTCTTACTGTGTATGGTTTGCCTTCTAATATAGTGTGTTGCTTCATAAATTCAATAATTATTCTCAACAACTTCAACTTGTATTTAAAGTAAAACCCTGCAAACTTAGTCTCATTAAAATGCCAATGTAAACAAATCGTTTTTTCCTTCTCTTTGTTTATTCATTGTTGCTACATTGTAAATTTCCCTCTTTTCATTTCAAACCAAACTTTTATCAACTTTTCACTTTTAGTTTTGTCTTGTACGGCTAAGCGCCCTCACTCTGCTGCCTGAGTGGACCCGGGTAAATTCAAATTCAGTCAACACTTTTGTCGGGGTAGTCAGACTTGGGAACCCAAACGCTTACCGCTGCTACAAGTGGGGGCCCGTCCGGGATTTGTTGCAATTTTGTGTGTTCTTTGCCTTGGCATTTATTTTTATTGCTTTCTTGTAAAACTTGTGTTGTTTTTAGTGCTCTTGGTTTATTTTAGTTGTAAAAATCTTGTTCCTTGTGTGGTGTGTTGGCGTCCTTGCATCGTTTGGCGGCGTTTGCAGGGCATTTCTCGCAACTTAGTTCATTTTTGTGCCTGCACTTTGTGCTTTTTGTTGACTTTTGGACTTTGACGTTTTGGCGTCACACTTGTGGTGTCTTTAAGAATATTTCTCTGTCGTGCATCAAGATGGCGTCTGCACGAGTCAACGCTACCATGGACCCTTCGATGCTACGCACTGACGAACTTGAGCATGAGTTGTGGCTCCGGAATGTGAATGTGCAGCGTGTTCGTGGTCACCGGGACTTGGTTTCGCTCTGCATGCGCAGCTCTTCCGATGAAATTTCTGAAGACTCTCTTAGCCGCCTTGTCCCTGCGGTTGAGCTAGATCTGCTTAGCCCGAAGGTGTTGGAATTAGAGGCTGCATTGCAGGGAGCGAAGACTGCACCGGACTTGGTCGAGGAGCCGTATCGCATCACTTCTCTGCTAGTGCACGTTCTGCTGCGACTCAAGCGAGTCATGTACCGAGCTGTTGGCGCCACTTGTGATGCTCTCCTGAAGTTAGCCCGTCGAGTTGATGTTCTTCGCAGTGCAATGGTGGAGATCTGTCCGCATCTGACATTCCCTGCACTGCTGTTGCCGCCTGAAGTTAAGCTTGAAGAATCCTTGCAGAATTTGAGCATTTCTCGTCACAGCAAGGGCTCTACTCGGCGTTCTCACCACTCTTCGTCGTCTTCAAGTTCTGACAGTGACAATTCCAGTCGACGGTCCTCTCGAAGGAGCCACAGGAAGAAACGCTCGTCACACCCTCGCGGAAACCCTCTTGAGAAATGGACTATGCGCTTCGGGAAGGGAGAAGATCTTGCAAGATTCCTTGAGGAAGTTGAGTCGACTGCTGATATGCAAGAGATTCCTGACGCTGATATTCTTCGTGGTTTTTCTACGTTGCTTACTGGAGACGCAAGAGTGTGGTTCAATGCTTCAAGAAATGATATCCAGTCTTTTGAACAGCTTAAGGAGGAGATGAGAGCCGCCTTCGCTCCAGGGGACAGTGACGAGAGCGTCTTAGAAAAGATTGCCGCTTTGAAACAACGGGCCGACGAAACGTACATCGTTTTTGAAGCACGCATGCAACAGTTGTTCAAGAGGTTGGCGGAGCCGCTCAGTGAGTCGCAGAAAGTAAAGAAGGTGTTGAATGGACTGCATTCTTACTACAGGAAGAACGTGCGTTCGGCTGATGTAAAGTCTCTCCGAGATTTGAAGTTGATTTGCGGCAGATTAGAGCCTGACAAGCATCACATTCTGAAGTTAGATAAAGAAGACAAGAAGAAAGAAGAGGAAAGGAGAAGAGATGACAGGCGCGGGCCGCGAGTTAATGAAATTTCCACTGAAGCTGAGACTACTGCTGATGCTCCTGAAGTCTCTGCTGTTTCTAAACCTGTTTCCAAGGGAAGCAAGCCTGCAGCCGCTGTTGGCCCTTGTTTTAGATGTGGACAAATGGGTCACCTGTCTTTTTCCTGTGATGTCAAGATTTATTGCTTCATGTGTGGTGCTCCTGATACTGTAGCCGAGCGATGTGACCGCTGTCAGTCGGCTCGCGCTCTTGCAGGTCGGATCAACGGTCCTGAACGAGCCCAGGGAAACGGACAAGGGGCTGCGGCACGGGGAGGCCCCGTCCCAGTGGTTTTTCCCCACCCATTTTCGTTTCCGCCTCCAGGATACCCGTCTCACCAGAATCCAAACCGACAATCTTGAAGTATGGAAGTCAGAAGAAGGCTGGAGCAGTGATACCGATGAAGCTTGGCTCAGATATGAGAGGATACTTAGAAGTTGATGTGTTGGGCATGTCTTTGACAGGGCTGCTGGACTCCGGCGCTGCTAGGACACTTGTCAACGCCCAAGGCTGGTCCGCTTTGAAGGCCGCTGGACTTGCTCTTGAATCTTGTTCCTTCTCGCATGTGCTAGTAGCTGACAAGGGACTAGTTGAAATTGCTGGACAGATTTCAGTTCCTTTTAAGGTTGGCAACACCTGCCGTGTTATCCCTGTGATTTGTGTTCCCCTTCTGAATACCAAGTTGATATTAGGCATTGATTTTTGGAGAAGATATCATCTGCGTCCGGACTTTCTTCTTTCTCAAGTGGAGATTGCTTGCTCTGAGGTGAAGTTGTTGGAAAAGCCTCCTGAAGTTGATGAAGACCCCCTCACCGCTGAACAACGTGCACAGCTTCAAACTGTTCTTGATTTCTACAGACCGGCTCTTGATCCCGGGAAGTTGGGTTGTGTACAAGGTGTTGAACATAACATCGACATTGGAAATGCTGCTCCCTTCAAGTTTTCTTACTATAACCTCAACCCGAAGATTATGTCAGATGTGCACGCTGAATTGGATCGTCGTCTGAAGGAAGATCTTGTTGAACCTTCAACCTCTCCATTTCAGTCCCCATTGCTCATCATTCCTAAGAAGAATAATTCCTTCCGCTGGGTAGTTGATTTCCGCAAGTTGAATTCCCACATCAAGACTCCATCCACATCATACCCGTTGCCCCGCATCAACCCTCTTTTGTCTAAAATGAATGGTGCTTCAATCATCTCTACAATTGATATTTCTGATGCTTATTTGCAGATTAAGCTCAGTGAAGAATCAAAGGCAAAGACCGCTTTCTATGTTCCTGGGCGTGGTTTATTTCAGTTTAAACGTATGCCTGCAGGGTTAAAGGATGCAGCTTCGCGGTGGCAACAAACTATTGATGCTGTACTTAGAGAAGTGACCCAAAGTGATCCA